GCCTGCTCTCGTATACGTGCAGATGTGAGAAGACTCCACTTGCCAGTGCGAGGCGCGGCATTTCTGTTGATCGTAAACGTTCAACTTGATGTGTTGCAACTTGTCAGGGACCAAACCGCCCAACTGGAAGTACATAAAAACATCGTAAAAATTTTTGCACCTTTTACATCTTCAAAACTATGAAATAATTAAATCTTAGATCAAAACATGTTGCGACAACATGTTTCTAACACGTTCAGTTTGATAAATGGGCCACGAGTTCAAGTTTGTTTTTTAATTGCGTAATAATTTTTATTTTTTTTTGCTCACTGATGTTCTTCCCCATCCGCTTAAAACGCAAGGAGATCCCGCGGAGATATCGTTGGTCGCGAGTTGAATAGGTTGAATCGTGGTGGTAAATTCAACGGATCTCGACAGTTTGAGCACACCGATGTCGTTGATTAATCTGGTAGCATCGAAATCTTCGTGAGGGACGGCCGCGGTCGCTGTATAAACAGTTCCCTCTTCACTCAACAGATTCGTGCCTGCGTGAATAGTCAGGGATTTCAGAGCATTGGGATCGTTGGCGTAACTGTAATGAAAAAACGTTTCTATTAATTATATTTTACAGTGCTCAATTTTGAATATCTTTTTCTTTGATATTTATTTAATAGCGAAATAAGTAATGAACGAGCAACACGAAATACGTACGAAACAATACAATGAGCGGCGGTGAGGACGGTGCGTGCGGAGATGATGGATCCGCCGCAGGAGTGAGATCCGTATCTTCTCAGAGATACCTGATGCGGATACGCGCCCACCGGAGCGTCTTCTCCACCGACAATATGGGAATTCGGGAAGCCTGTGTGCGGAAAAAGGTCAGTAATTTATGTACGACATGTTGTTTGTATTTCTTTACAAAACGTGCCGTGCTCGTAAGAAATTGGATAAATATTTTTTTAAAGTGTGTCGAATTCCAATCAGTACTAGTTGTTATACAAAACGTATACAAAACGTTTTTATTACTTCAAAAATTTATTTTTATTTCTTCTAAAAATTTATTCATTATTCGTATTTTTGTTCTTCTTCTTTTCTTCAAGATCGCGAAATAAAAGTTCTTTTTTACAACATTTTTCACGTGTATTTTGAAATATACCGATTGTGTGTGTGTCGCTTACCATGAGCGGCTGCTGCCAAGCAAACAAGTACGAACAACGCCAACATGATGAGACCGTGAGACTGATTAATAACAAAGCTTGGTCGTAGGGATTTATATACCGCTTTGGAGTACTCGAAAAAATGTTCGTTGTAACACGCTTGTGTACATTACGTAAGCACAAATTAAATGTTTTAAGTAATCTAATCCTTAACAGATTTAATCATTGTAATCTCTACGAGACAATCCAAGAAATTGTGGGGTAATCGATCAAATGACTATTCTTTTTCGTGAATCGTCCGAGATTTTTTTATCAGGATAGATGTCTACGAAAACTTTTATCTCGAGTACTTGACGCAATCGATAGACAGTAATTCGAAGATGTTACTTACCGTGCTTCTTGATCCAGTCATGATACGCAGATACCTTGACAAATTTGTCAGGAACACCCACCGCGCACGGAGTCACGAAGGATGCAATTCCGATCTGAATGCCGTCCGCGAGTAAAGCGCTCCCCGAATCACCCTTAACGACGTAAGTAACGTCACAATTTCATATAAAAATATATATTTTTCTTCTTTTTCTATTATAATTACATACAAGCAAAACTTGAAATTACAAAGAGTAATAATGAACTTACGTGACACACTCCCTCGTTCTTTCTCGTGAAAGTGCAAATGTGATTGTCAGTCACTCTCCAGCTCGAGTCTTTGCATTTCTCGAGAGAATAAATCTTCAGTGCGATCTCTTGCAAGACATTGGGTGTACGCCCATTGAGCTAAAAAGCGCAAAGAAAGAAACGTGCAAGATATATAAAAATATATACATACATTTTGTATACATATACATATATATTTTGCACGTATTATATATAATCGTTTCGTATAATGAATCTTACGGAAGTACTACCCCAACCGGACAGAACGCAAGGAAGATCTTCAAGAACGAAATCGTGCCGCGCGATCGGAACGGGCTGCACCAGGTCGTTAAACGCTATTTCCTTCTTCACCTTAACGAGACCGATATCGTTATTGAACGTGTAACTGTCGTAATCCGGATGCCACAGTACTTTTTTTACTTTGTAAACATCACCCTTCTCGTTCAAGTAGATCGTTCCGGCGTGGACCGTAAGACCCTTCAAATCTTCCCCGTAACTTTGAAACAATTGTTTTCGCATTACATAACAAAGTTGTCGTTTCTTAAACCATGACGAAGTTTTAAATAAATAAATCGCGAGGATATTTACGTATTTACGCAATGAGCCGCGGTGAGTACGTAACGTTCGTTAATAATTGACCCTCCGCAGCTAAATCTGCCGTAGTATTTCAGGGCTACCGAATGTGGATACTTGCCAATGGGAGCGTCCTTGCCGCCGACAATGCGAGGAGAGAAGCCTTAGATTTTTTGTTTTGAACAAATTGTGATTATGTAATAAAATAATTTTATAGTGTACTCGTAATAAATATTATATAATAAATGGAGTAAAACATCTAATGATCGGCATTTTAAAGACCTGTCTTTAAGTTTTTTTTCAAAAGTATCAATTAAAGAAAAAAATGTTGCTATAAAAAATCCAAATTAATTCTAGTGTAATATCAAATAAAAAGTAATCATAGACAAAATCATCTAGAAAAAATCATTAAGTGTCAATCATTAAAATGGTACCAATAATATTTACTGTAACACGCATTTAATTTGAAATTAATTTCCAAAAACTTCACGTCACAGGTGATGTTAAGAAAAAAAAGTTTTTTTAAGAAAAGAAAGATTTTTATCGATGAACTCGATTCGGAAATACCTTGGGTGATGCGTGCCAGAGAGATGAGAATAAAACAAGCGATTGCGTACATCTCTGACGGCGAATTTCTCTACGACGGACAAGCAAAGCAAATACACGCGTTCAAATATTTTATACATGTATTTATACATGTTTCTCTCAAGTGTTCTAATTAAAAGATAAATCACAACATGTGTTAGTGAGCATTTTTGATATTGCGTTGTTGTTGACTAAAACGATAGCTTTTCAAGTTCAAATATTTTTATGATAATATTGTTGTACAATCGGAAATTGCTGTAGGAACACAGGTGAGTCGAACTCTCTCTGTACTGTCTTCGATTAATCTTGCGCGATTAATTTGAGACACATTAGCTTTCTGATTTCTTTTCGAAAATAATATTGACAAATCACCGTTCTAAGTGCGAGCGATAACGCGTTATCGAGATATTTCGCATACTTGCAAAATATAATTTTTAAGTAGTCTTAATAGTAGTTTATTTTTCTTTCACACGATTTTTGAAATAATTCTTTCAAATTTCTTTGTTGTCAAAAATAATGATGAGTGCGTTTGTGCAAAAATGAGCATAAGCACTATATATTCATCAAGTTGATAACACTTTGGTAAGAGTGTTTCTCTAAATGCGTTCCCAATAATACAAATGTTGATCAATATCGCCGATTTTTTAAATCTGAAGTTGAATTCAAATGGTTTTTCCAATTCTTGTTATCGGGAAGATCGGGAAGGGAATTGTGTCGATTTCAATGTTATCTGCGCCGACAACAATCGTGTCGTAATTGACAGATCGCTTTCAAACTATAATATAAAAAAAAAGATCTGTATAAAAATAAAATGCGATATATGATCTGTGTGCTCCTCAGATAACGATTAATCTTCTGATAATATAGCGAATCTCTAAAGATTAACGGATTTGCTTCAAGATTTTATTCAGGAATCAAAGTCCTGATAATATGTGCAATATAAAAAAATATAAACAGTGTATAAAGCGCATTATATCGCACACATTTTTATAAATAATTTTATAAAATACACAGACAAATACTTAAATAAAATTACATAAAATAAAATTCACTTAAAAAAAATTTTACACATTATACTCCGAGTTGATTTTACTTTTTCCGAATCGCGACATTTAAAAAACCAAATATCAAAAAATCAATTATAAAAACTTAAGTACATAACGTGTAGATTACATTTGGAATAGTTTGTCGCTAACTTGGAATTAGATTAAATTTGCTGACAATGCGTATCGCGTGATATTCAGTAATAGCGAGATCAAACACTCTCTTATCGTGAATGAAAAGGAATCTATCTCTTTTCGTATCAAATAGTATTTTATCTGTTCTTGACCTTAAGAGAATGCTTAACCGCTGGTAAAAGTTCGCTCAGCTGCTACTCAACCGCTATGCTATCGGGTAGGTGGCGCCATCTCTCCGGACCGAATCAAACCAAAACAAGGATAGATGACATGAGAGCCAAGGATAGACATATGTTTCTCTCTGACGCTTCTGCTAAAATTGTACTAATCGTATTTCGAAGTTTTCTTGTCTCACAAGGCTTCAAAATCTTTTTTGAAGCACTCAAAATATTCGTCCATGTTTCTAGTTTGGGATAAAAGTATTTTTATTTGGATTTATATGGCCAATTTTGCATATAAAGTAAAAATGTAGTTTCTGTAATAACAGTCTAAAAACTTTTTTTTGTTTTTCTTAAATTTTTAGGCTTTATCCCATTCTTTACTATATTTTCTTTATTTCTGGAGAAGCATTTTTTATAAAACAGGACGGTTCAGCATCCTCTTAATATGGTACAATACATTTCATCTGCGAAAAAGAACCATGTTTCCTTTCTCTGCGCACAAACGATGATTTATTCTCTCAACAAATGGCGCCATTATACGTACACGGCGTAATTTCGTAATAAAGGAGAAAATAATAATATCGAGAAAATGTATAACCAATATCCGTTTAACGAAACACACGAGCAATGAATTAACGCGTCATCAGCAATATTCCCAATATGTACTGAGATAATTTCAAAAACTTTTTGCTTGCTTTATTATGTAACATAAGAATATAATTTTGCATATTCTCTGTGACGGCTGTAAAGAGACAGAGAGAGGAACTTCGCTTTTGTCTTTTCAAAACTCTCAAGAAGTCTGCCTTGTTCACATACGACATGTCCGGCGAAAACTTTGTAACGATATGTTTACATCGTTACATCTTGCCTCATCGCTTAAAAGGATTCATTATTAGCACGGAGTCTATAGAAAAATAAAAAAAAATTTTGAAACAATTAACAGTTTAATATTGATTCGAACAAAATACGAAAAGTTACTTTATAAAACTAACTCGTTACCATAATTAGATAGCTTTTACTTTTTACTCAATTCTGATTAACAGTATAAAATAATTGAAATTAAAATATTACCTTTGATATTCTCGTTATACGTAGTCAATTCTGAATTTCGATTTTTCTTTTTTTGCGAGTGATCTTTTTTTTACGTTGGTTTCTTTTTTCTTTGGCTTTTATTTCTTCTTTTGATTTTATTTTTCTGTATTTTCTTTTATTTGCAGCAATTTTATTGATACAATTTATTAAATATTTATGGGAACATCAAAACCTTGAATATATATTTATCCACTCTAAAAATATGAAACATATATTTTTTTATATCTTATATACATTATTTATATCTTGTATACATTATTTTATATTTTATATATATTATTTTTTATATTGCAATGTATATTGCAAACATATTTTTTATATGTTGCAATTTTTTAAAAAATAAATAAATATATATATATATATATATAGTATATACACGGTGGGCCATTTGAATCTCAACAGCCATATATCTCGATTTTTATGCATGCTCTGGAAAAATGATTTAGACAAAAGTTGCTCGGAATAATAAGGGCCAACTATCTGTGCAATCAGATTTGACCTTGACAATAAATGTCAAGGTCACTTCAAGGTCAAAACGTTTTTTTCTTATGGGAACCCATATTTTTAAAACCGGATTCGAAAAGAGCGGAAAAGTTTACGTCCAGATACGTATCTAAGTTCAACATTAACGTGACCTTTATAGATCAAATAAATTCCTAAAAACCAACCCTGCTAAACCACAAGTAGGCTAACCCAATAGTTAGGTTAATCTAAAGACGAGCAGGCAACCCTACAACCACGTGATCGCTGTAATTTTACCCTTGCCGAACCTTACTTTTAGCACTACCCAGAAACAACGACGTGGACGAAGCCTACTTGTGGTTTAGCAGGGTTGGTTTTTAGGAATTTATTTGACCTATGCAGGTCACGTTAATGTTGAACTTAGATACGTATCTGGACGTAAAATTGTCCGCTCTTTTCGAATCCGGTTTTAAAAATATGGGTTCCCATAAGAAAAAAACGTTTTGATCTTAAAATGACCTTGACATTTATTGTCAAGGTCAAATCTGATTGCACAGATAGTTGGCTTCTATTATTCCGAGCAACTTTTGTCTGAACCATTTTTCCAGAGCATGCATAAAAATGGAGATATATGGCTGTTGAGATTAAAATGACCCACCGTGTATATATACATATACAGGGTGTCCCAGAATTGGTTTAACATCTCTCGTAGGCAGGTAGAAGGAATAAAACTGAGGTGAAAAGTCCTATACTATTTTGCTAGATTCGCAATAGTTACTGAGATTTTAATTAACAAAGATCCGCGAATAAGCATGCATCGAGCTGTCTTACGCGCGTAAGACTGCCCGCCGCGCTTCGCGCGCTAACGGTGTTACCCATAGCGACATATGGGAGGAGCTAATATAAC